TTATCACAAGTTAATTTCTTCTAAAGATGTTCCAATTGAAAATTATCATAAGTTAATTTTTTGTGCCTATTTTTATTTTTTATCCAAAATGCTAATTTCATTAATTAAAATGATAAATTTAAAAACAGATCTTCAAAAATTGAGAGATTTTGGCAAGAAACACCAGCTGATATTGTAAATGAAATAATTATAAGCGGCTCAGATAGTTATAAAATATATATGACATATTTATATCAATCGTGTTTCTTCGATCGTCCTTTTTCATCGATGTTTTATCCATTATTCGAGTCAGTTTCACTGGTTACAAAGTTAAGAATAATCTCCTCATTACATAATTCGTTTCGCTTTAAGAACTGATATATCATTTGGATATAACAATTTTTATTTCAAATTTTTCTTTTAAAATAAATGTTACAGCTTCACATAGTACCGAAAACACGAGTTGTGAAACTTGCTTCACCGGCCTTCTACTACAAGGGTGGAATAGACACAAAAAATAAGGGACCAAAAGGAAAAGATGGCAGTTATCAGGTAGAGTGAAATGATTTTAAATGATAATTGAAAATTATTTATCATGATTTTTTCTTGGATATGTTAATTAATTCTTTAATCGAATATGTTCTTTAAATTGTATTTAAATGTTTCCTGATTCTGTCTGAGATTTCTAATAATTTAAATTTAGCAAATGAGCTTTTTTAGAACTAACACTAAATTTAGTGATTTAATGGATGAAATTCCTTGAAATGTGGATTGAAAATTTATCTTACTCCAGCTATACATGAATGGATATGTAAGTGCCTCGAATATTATCCCGCAGTGGAATAAAGGAGGTCAATTATGTCCACTGACAGAGGCAGAAGTTGAACGATTCAAGTACCTATTCCAAAAATTGTGCGTTCTCGACTACGTTATTCGCAATACAGATCGACATATGGAAAACTGGCTCATTAAGTATGTTTTCTTACTGTACTGAATAATATTATGGTTCTAAATGCCGTGACCTCATTTCACTCACTTTCATTATAAAAAGATAAAGCCCTAAAGAAAAAGCTGAATTTCTAAAAGCATCTTTTGAATCCCTTCCTGGAATTTCTTTTCATACCTTCTCATTTCCAAGTTAATGCTTGCTTAAATGATGGAAAGTAATTATTTGTACACAGGTATGAGCCAGGTAAAGTATTGGAACTTGCTGCTATCGATAATGGTTTGGCATTTCCAGTGAAACATCCCGAAACATCCAGTCGTTTACGACAATTTCCGTTTGCTTGGGCGCAGTTGTCATGGGCTAATTATGTTAGAGTTTTTTAAGTATTTTGTGTTAATCTAAATGGAGAAAGATTGACTTTTTCATCAGCATTTAAATGAGATGTTTGTCTCTTTTAATACTGTTATTGCTAATAATGAGTGCTTCAATTTTATATAAATAATATGAATCGATCAGTTTCGTAATATCTCCTTCCTAAATGAGTTACAGCCATGGAACGAAGAATTAAGAACATTTCTACTTCAACTGTTAACACCGCAATTTGTACAAAGCTTATGTGACGATATTGCCACTTTATTCAAGTATGACCGTAACGTGAATCGCTTTTTGAAGTATAGTCAATTGCGGGTACTCAGAGGCCAGGTTTATATATATCTTACTTTATATGACCTGTCCTTTATTTTATTTTATAACTAAAAAAGCGGACGTAGATATTCTTTATCTTCCTAACAGTAATTTATTAGTTTATCTCAAGTAGAAGTCGAAATACTCAAATTTGGAGTGAATTGATATATGACTTTTATGCTACCTATGAATCTCATCTGCTAACATTCATATTACTCAAAAAGCTTGGGGAAACGAAAATGTCAGCAAATAATTTATCAAAAAGATTTCAAACAATTAACAAAGACAACTATGTAATGTTACTTTATTCATATAAACTGTTTTATTATATCAAAAATGGAATAGTATAAGATTGAATAAAATATGAGAACTAATATAATACAGTTATATGCAATTATTCCTACTTAAACAAATTATTAAATATCTAATATTTAATTTAGATTTGGAACTTACGGTTAGCATTAATTATGAAAGAGTCACCGGCAGAAATGGTAAAACGGCCGTTGGTTCTTGTTTCGCGGCGTTATCGTCGCTATCCACCCAATGATGATTGGAATCGAGCATTTCGAGTTAAACCAGCTGATTTTGGTAAACGAAGATGTTGTTAATTATAATTACCACTATATAATCTTGCTAATTTTTAGTTAATAAAACAATTTTTAGTTATTAAAATATTCACAATGTTCATTTATTTTGTAATTATATATGAATTATAAAAATTTAATATTAGAGTCAGTCTATTACTGGAACAATTAATATTACCTATGAAGAAATTATTACTGTATTTCAAAATTCGTGTGCAACATAATTGATTTAAATATAATTCAGATCAGTAGGTTACAGGAAGTTGCTGATTCACTTGCTACAATTTTTGAAATCACTTTTCAAACCAGTATTATATAGTATTATTGTCGAATAAGCTTACATGCAACCTTCTTTCCAAACTTCAGAATCATTAAACAGATTATCCACTTCAGTACATATTTACACTGAGGTGATTTCTAAGTACAGAATACAAACTTAAAAAAGCAATTGATGGAAAAAAATGGCAATGACCATAAATTGGCAGGTTTTGCAGTACAGTATTTTAAATGTAACACTGAGCTGATAATTATCATAACAAAAGAAGGAATGGATAGAATAAATGTATATATTAGTTGATACTTTCATCGATATGTATATCGATGCAACACAAAGATTACTGACAGATCATAATCTAAGCCATGAGGAAATAGCTATGAGGAGGAAGAGCTCAAGTAGTAATATGCATTTCAAAATTCAACAATACTCCCAAACACACGAAGCCATTCTATATTTTTAGCTGATATATATAAATTAAAAATCCGAGGTTATAGGTCAAAATTTAAGAACTGTCATTTATGTTAAGAAATGAGAGCATTTAGAGATCGATGATTTGAATATGAAACGGAAGTGATAACTTTTAATATTTTTGAGAAATATTTTTATATGAAAATTAAAATGCTAAATTCTAATGTTTAGTTATTTCTTTCAGTTCACTAGAACACTTTTTTTAAAACCAAAGTGTGTTTTTGGAAAAAAGGGAAAATAATGGAATTATAAAACATGCAAAAATTACAACAAAAAAGAATAAAGCACAAGACACAAATATTTTCTTTAATTAAAATTAAAATGCTGGATTATGAAAGTCCAATAGAATCAAGTAAATCACAGGGTGTTTCATACCGCTTGAATCATCTTGTGATTTATGTTTAAGCGCAATAAGATTCATCACTAGAATGAAATGATTGAGATAAATAGGAGGAAAATTAATTTGCTCTTTCGAGCAAATGTTTTGAAATATTCTGCTTTCTATTTTAAACTACGAATATTTTTCGGAAAAAAGAGAAATGGCACTAAGCAGCAGTTTCTCCGACTGAATTTTTATTAATGACCCGTGATTTCAGTACACCATTCTCAATCACTTCAATAGTTTCTTTACCTTCTGCTTCTATCCTGCAATTTAACTTTGTGAATTAATTAAAATTCGAAAAGCACAGCAAAGCTTTTAACTGATATCAGCTAGCTTTTAATTGAGAGCACAACCTAAAAAGAGCCACATTTCATTAATATTATGCTCAAAATAATTCTAGAAAAGAAGTGTAAAATGAGAACAATAAATATAAAGACAGAAGTAGTGAGATTACTATGTGAAAAAATATGATAATAAATTGCAGCCGACTATAATTATGCAATATTTAATTTAAATCAAGCTAGATGATTGTTGCTGATAAGGAATGAGAGGTATCGTAGTAGAATAGTAGGAAGCCAAATTAGATAAGCATTGCAGATCAAATTGATCTAAATCTAACGTGTTTTCTAAAACAAAGGTTAAATTGAAAGTAATGAATCGATAGCTAGAAATGATGTATAATACTGTAGCAATCCGTTCATAAAAGTGAGTTTAAAATTTTCAAAAAATTAAAAAATGAAAGAATGAAAGAAACCTTTTCGTAACAACTTTGACCCCATCAATTATTTTCGTAGTTGTTGATGTTTTACGACTGGAGGCATTCTTTCCAGGCTCTGCGGATGAGAACCGTATTATCGATGAAAAACTACTGCAAAGTTAAAGTTTAAAAGAAATTTGCTTCATTTTTGAGTAGATAGTTTCAAATAACTTCCTAGAAAAGTTCACCAGTTTATTGCCTACGCTAAGCATTTAAACATCTAAAAATTAAAGTATTTAAAATACCCTAAATAAAAGAAGAGCTGAAGGACAATATCAAATCTTGACAGTATCTCTGTTTTGGAAAAAAATTTTTAGTATCTATCCAGAAGAAATGCGCCTTTATATTTACGAAAATATTACAGTTAAGTTAGAAATTTTATAAGAAATGCCTAACCAGTCATTCTCATTGATAAGTTCATTATTTCTTTTATCATCAAAAGAGGCACTGCTGGTAAATCGTGTTTTATGACTTCCTGAAAATCATGCGAGTAGTGATCCTCAATAAGAATGATATTCGTCGAAGTTTACGAAAATCGGACTAATGAAGTTTAAGAATCTAACGAACCGGCTTTCCTGTAAAGTGAATCAACGCTATCGGATCTTGTTCGAAAAAAAAATGGCGAAAAAGGTTTTTCATTCATCATAAAATCCTGAAATATCATTTTACCGCTACAATCGGGAAAAAAACAACTCACAAAAAAGGATTCTAGACAAAAGTCATAAACGGTGATCCAAATAGCAAATTAATGAAACCTACATCTAACAGATCCATGTAGCTATAAAATCCTTGGAAGATATCGAAAGGTGAGCGAAATCGATGATGGAAAACATTATGTGACTGCTTACTGTGAGGCTGTGAACTAATCAAACGTGAACGATCATATGAGTTGCGTTTCTTTGCTGAAATGCAGCAAAATAGATGAACAGTATCAGTATCATAGATTTCTGTAGGAATGATATGTTAAATGAAAGATGGAAGAGCACGGAAAGGACAGAAATAGTGTAATGAACAAGCATTTGGTAAAATTTATCTTACTACGTATCCATTTTAATTGTTCTAAAGTATTTAATTGTAACATTTGTATTTAGCAAATTTAACCAAAGTTTGAAAAATTTAGGATTAAATGATTATAATTCTTCTTTCCAATTCCTTGTAAACTCAAAAACAAAATGTTTCAAAATATGTGACAGAGATTTATTGATTTGATGTATTTGATATATATTTGATAGGAACAACAAATTTTTGATATACTTACGATCTGATAATACTTCATATGCTTCAGTTATACGCTTGAATTTTTGTTCTGCTGCTTTATTGTTGTTCGGATTTTTGTCAGGATGCCATTGCAATGCCAATTTACGATATCTGTAATAGGTTCTCGATTTTATCACATTTTGTTTCAAATTTAAAATATTCTTTCCCTCAGTATACCATTTTTTTAAAGTAGTTTATATGGATTTATCATTGCAATCTTAAATTTATTTTTATCGTCGAATTTTACATATTTAAGAAATTGTTCTATTCAATTAAACTTAACATACAAAAATCCAATTCTAATAAGTAACAATCACCGCAAATGATCGATGATGATTTTGTAGATTTGTAAATTTAGATAATTATTGAAAGATAAAGGAATAATACAATAAAATAAAACATACGCTTTTCGGATAGTAACATCGTCAGCATTACTAGGTATTTCAAGAATGCTATAAAAACAACTGGGACCGTTTGATAGATCATCATGGGAGCCTGAAGTCGGAGTCGTTCCTTTCCTTAGACCCATTTGAGCTACAATATCCTTTACTCGTTGTACATACAAGTACTCTACTTAATATGACTGAATACTTCAACAACTACGACTCTTCCTCGGTCTTCTTTTTCCCAAGTGTGATGCTGTAACAGTTTTATTTTTCCTCATATGAATTGAGTAGAGTGCAAAAAGCTGAAAAGACCGTCAAAATGATCATTTATAATTACAACAATAAAACATCTCTATCACACACAAACACACACACACACACATACACACATACACACATACATTCAATTCCTTTATTTATGACACTTCAATAAATCAAATTATTTTAAATAACCAGAAAAAGAGAAGGAGAGATTTTAAATATCAAAAATCTTCAACATCTCGGGTTGAAAATGCATGTTTTGGATATAATAATAAATGGTTATGAAATGAAGGAATTAAATTATGAGCCATAAAGAGAAAGAAATGTGCCATAAAACAACGATAAATGTGAAAGAGATAATTTGTCTTAAATAACGGTAAACTAAAGATGGAGGATGAAGGACGTTGTCATTCAACGATGAATTTTGACAAAAACTATATCACTATATTTTGTTAAATTTTATTAATCATATTTGCTGCTAATCTGATATATATCTATGATTCAAACATTTTTGACATAAAGTCAAAATAATGTAACTAAGAAATGAATTGAATAAATTCATATCATACAATGGAAAACATTTAAAATTTGATTTTGGTCTGGACTTCTTTTCTTGCATAATTATAACAATAAATGAGAATAAAGTTGAAGTGCTGTAATTTGTATTTAAACGAAATTAATAGCATAAAAATGTTTCATCTCCTCCTACACAAAATATGCCACATTGGCTACATAAACATGATTTATTGCTTAGACCTTTTTCATCAATGTTTGTTGCAATGTTCATTGCTCTCTTTCACTATCGAATATCATCAGTTAGTTAAACCATATAGTTGAAAGTTACTACTTACTTTATCAGTCAGATAATTAAAAAAAAAATCTAATATTTTAATAAATTTAGAAATAAATAATAAAAGATAGAGCAAAAATTAATATCAAAGACTTCTCAGATGAAATATTAAACATTTCCATTCGAGAATTCAGAAGCATATTATGGCATTAAATTTAATGCCATAAAAGTTTAATCATATTTATTATAAAATTTTTTATTATGAAAACTATATCTCTAACTCTCTATCCCTCCTATCGCCAGTATATTTTTTAATGAGTTAGAATTTCAGAAATACGTTACTTATATCAGTGACTTATAAAAAAATTACAACTTTATTGTTTCATACATATAAGACCCAAAGCCAAGTTTATTTATCTGTTAACAAAGATACATCATCATCATCA